ACACAATAAACAAACAAGTTGGTTAAAACGGTTAGCTATGCGTAATGATTTACTTAACTGATATGCAAGAACATGCCCGAGGAGGTGGGATCTTAAGGTCAAAAATTAGGGCGTGACAACGGCCTTCACAGATAGAATCTTCCTGGAGATACGGACTCCGGTGGGGAAGTACAGCAATAGCTATTCAACACTCTCCTGGGGAAAACCAATAATGGCTTGAACGCCTTCCAAGGACTCGGATCTCTTGGGGGAACTGCAAACTCGGCTAGGGACGCGCAACCAGATGCTGGAATAAATCCTACCTGCCGGGGAGCACACAACTCTGTGGGGAATTTCAATTCTGCCGGAGACTTCAGTCTGAACTATCGAGAGCTGAACACTAACAGATAGTCTTCTATGATAAAACTGCATGCTGACTCGCTGTGGGGAACGAGTATACACCTCTGTGCATGAATCAGCTGGGGAGATGATGATCCTGCCTAGGATGCATTTGGTTGGGGAGAATCTATCTCCGTTCGAGGAGACACATCAATGCTTATAGTCCCACGTTCAGACTCTATGGGGAAACACAACTGAACCTGCTGGGGAAGAAGGAATCATCCTGCTTGGAAAAACATGCCATGAAACAAACTCGCGATGGCTTGCCCCAGAATCTTAACAACTTTCGATAAACTCTGCACATACGGAGAGGAACGACTCCTTCGCTTTCAAGTTTTGCCCCAGCCTGTGGGATCTTCGTAACATCTTTTCAAAAGGAAACCTGAGATATCTGTACTTTGGGGGCTTAATACGAACAACTTCAGCATTTTGAACCTCTACAAAGGTGCTTCAAGTTAATCGCCTTCAGGGTAAGGATATCTTCGGCGCTCTCGGGGTGGCCTGCCCCTGCCTTGTCATGACTTTGCCCCTCATGGGCTGATCTGTGGGGAGATGATCCTTGGCTGTGAGAGATTCATCAGATCTCGACCTGATTGCCCCGGATTAACTATTTCTGGAGTGGCTGAGTCCCATGCTGTGATCATTTGACATAGCTTGCCCCGGTTCACCGGAATATTCTGGCGTTCTGCATTCTGTCCTGATCAACTCTTTCCATCGTGGCAACTTTCTCGCTGTCAAGCGCTTACTCGTAAGTAAAACAAAATGTTCTGCATAAAAGACATATCAAATGCAATGCATATGGCAGTTTTCAAAATCTATTCCTGTTCACTGGAAAAAATTGTGACATAAAATGTATGAAATCATTCATCAACGTGTCAACATCAATACAACACTGTAATGGGAATCCTTTCTAGGAGTCAGTTCCGATGCGATCTTTACCGAAGTATGCTTTCGAAATAAACCTATTTCAATTAGGACTTTTAAAGGTTATAGCATGGTCAGGTTCACGGTTTTAAGAAAGAAAGGCTACAGGCTCAAAATTCATTTTAACCCACCCATTCTCCTTGATGTTCTCCGATCCTACGTTTAGCTAATTCGACCTTAGCGTTCTCCTTTCAAAGGTTAAGTGATAGTTTAAGAGATTACACTCTTTCGAAGTGACAATCACTCTCTTTTCGTCTTTTGGCGTCCGGAGCCACATAATTTCGTTCTTGTTTGAGGATTTTTCTTTCGTAATCCTTTTCCGTTTTTTCGCTTTTTCGTTTTTCGTTTTCCCCTAACTTTTTCCTAGACTAACTCTTTAGAGTTTCTTCGATTTTGAAGTCCAGTGGGGTACCTTAATTTTTGCCTAAGCCGCTTGCTTTCAAGATTCGACTTAGCGGGCTTTTCTTTTCGATTATTTTCTTTCTCTTTTTTTTTGAACAAATCGTATGACAACGGCTCGTATGACTTGTTAAATAGATTGTGACTGTTTCACTCTTGATCGGCCAGGTTTAACCATCATGGTTTTTTTTAGGTACGACCTGTAGCGGTGTGATTGATCCTCGAACGGACACTCCTTTTGTAATTTGAACGCTTGGTCAAATTAACTGACACCTACCCTACCCCGGGTTAAGATTGAGGATTTTCCATCTTCAGAAAGAAAATCCTACTACTAGGCTCAAAAGGGGTTAACAAGGGATTATCTTCCCTTCGTTTTCCCCTAACTTTTGCCTAGACTAACTCTTTAGAGTTTCTTCGATTTTGAAGTCCAGTGGGGTACCCTAATTTTTGCCTAAGTCGCTTGCTTTCAAGATTCGACTTAGCGGGCTTTTCTTTTCGATTCTTTTCTTTCTCTTTTTTTTTGAACAAATTTTATGACAACGGCTCGTATGACTTGTTAAATAGATTGTGACTGTTTCACTCCTGATCGGCCAGGTTTAACCATCATGGTTTTTTTTAGGTACGACCTGTAGCAGTGTGACTGATCCTCGAACGAACACTCCTTTTGTAATTTGAACGCTTGGTCAAATTAACTGACACCTACCCTACCCCGGGTTAAGATTGAGGGTTTTCCATCTTCAGAAAGAAACTCCTACTACTAGGCTCAAAAGGGGTTAACAAGGGATTATCTTCCTTATATCTCCGGTGTTTGTGGATTTGAAACAATGCTTGTACATCGTCAACAGGTTTTTATTCAAAAGCATAGCATCAGAAGCTTACGCATCATTGGATTTCGTCATCCTCCCCAGATTCCACTTAAACAAGCGTTTTTTAAAATAAAAGAAAGCAATAGAGTGAACACGAATGGATTAGTTCAAAACATGCATATTTATTTCATTATCAACATCAATTGAAAAACAACATGCTTTATAAACGAAATTTGCAATTCTAACAGGAAAGAAACTACAAATGTAAAGAAATGACATGATAAAATGTAGATTGCCAGCTTCTGGGAACTGGGCTTTCACACTTATTTGCTGCTGAGGGGAGCGACCCTTTGAAGTCTTCAGACTCAATCAGATGAACGGTTGTTGTGACGTTGACTCTGATAGTTTTGCTGCAATGGAGCGAGAGGTTGCTGATTCTGAATGGCAGAAACGATCTGGAGACGAGGTCCTAACTAGTGAGGATTCTCTCTGTTTAGGGGCTTTCATCCTTAAGCTCAACCCAGGAACATGAAAAAACTGCGGGCAAGGCGATTCAGACTTCGAAGACCGCAGGATATACTCCTGATCTTTCTCAACTTCAGATGAGGTAATGGGAACATCCATCTCTTTTGCATGATAAGGGATGAATGTGCCTGATGCTTTCATGTCGCCCGACACGAATTCAATTGCTCTCGACTCAATCATGTCTTGAACCTTATGCTTAAAAGCTTTACAGTTCGTTACATCGTGCCCCGGTGATCCAGAGTGGAATTTGCAACGGACGTTCACGTCCCAGTCGGGTGGTGGCGGTCCAGTCAATGGAGCCAAAGTTTGAGGTTTAACCAACTGAAGTTGGAGCAAGAGTTGCACCAACTGGTCATAACCCATCGGGATTGGATCGAGGATTCTGTCAGATAGTTTCATCTTTTGACCATGTTATCTGGGGTTGTCTTGAGGAACCGGACGTGACCGTTGGCGGGAAAAATTATGAGCTTCAAGCTGTGCAGAGGGTCTTTTAGGCCTATCATGCCTTGGTGCAGGTTCTTCAGACACCTGTGGAGAAAGTATGCCGGCTGCAGCTTCGGGTGTTTGCTCACATTCTCTTCTGAGTATGTTCTTTAACACTTCTGCCATCAGGCCCACCTGACTTTTCAGCTGGTTGTTCTCTTCTTTGAGCGCCCCTTGATTCCAGCGCAACGCTTGCATGTCCCCCATAACCTGCCTCAGCTGGCTCTGGACGTCCTTCAGTTCTACTTGTACCTGTTCCATTGCTCGGATCAACCCGAGACAATCCTAAAACAACCTGTAAACACAGAGGGTTAGGTAAATGTTGCACCCTAATTTTTGACCTTAAGATCCCGCCTCCCTCTGTTGTTTTTTCTAATTGGTATCTTCATACTCGCGTGTACATGATTATTATGGCTAACCAATTCGCGCAGATGCAGTAACGTCCAAGCAAAGATGGCGCTAATTCCCACAATTGGATACTCCAAGGTATAACCAATGGACCCTAATTTGAAGACATCGTCGATGAATCTTTGCTTACATCTCTTTAAAGTCACAAGAGGATTTTGGGTTCTAATGGCCATGACCTTTGATTATTAAGGATCCTCGGAATCAAAGTTATGACATAGAATACAGAGTCGTGATCAAGACAAGTTATGTGAGTTTAGAAATATTCAAATTACAGGTTTCATCAACTTGAATACGAATTAGAAAACACACAAGTATGTCATCAAAATCCTTTGAAAAGTCTTAGCCGCATAGAGATGAAGGATCAATGGTGTTTCCCTTTGCAAAATCATGATTCCATTTCTAAGTGAAAAAAAAAAACTCTATTTGCAATTTAGAATGCACACCAAAAGTACGTTTTGAAACAAGCTGAAGGATAAATTGACATAGTTACTTTTTTTCAACAAATTCAAAAGGTACAGGATCCTTCATTTTCTTGCACAATACAGTCGTTGCAGCAAACCAGAGTGAAGTTCACACTTCTTCACATTAGCATTGGTTTCAAACTTTTGTTACATGATCCTATCAGTTACAAGCTACCTTATCAGCTCTACACATCTCAGAACCAACCACTATAGCAAGTCACCAATTCGTAAAATACAAGCAATATTGGATTTTGTAGCATTGCACTTTTGTCATCTAAGCGTTTTGAGACATCCAACCATGTCTGCTCACGCATAAGAAACTGCCACCTTCTCCTACAACGCAGTTCATGTTAAAACACAACATTTCATTATTAGAAGGAAGAGGATCAAAAGAGATAGTAAGGAATCAAGAGAATTCGTCATGAGTCGTACAGGGTGTATTGTAATAGGAACACATTTCTTTGGTGATGCCGAGATTAGCCTGTCACCACCGGTGTCAAGCAGCTCCAAGAGACCATGGTCACGTGTTGCGTGACTTCAACAAGAGTGGTGTGTGCTTGCTTCTTAGGGAGGGGTATCACCCCTGCATACTTCGAATGCTCGACGAGAACACAAGTCATTTGTTCGGTGTACTCTCCTCACCCTGTCAAATACAAGCAGTTATGTTTCTCAGAAAATAAGATGGTAATGTGTTGAGAATCAAGTCAGCAAGCTTATCCTGATGGAGGTCACAACATCACCAATGAGCATAACAACGATACGAAAACGGAAGAGTGAGAGAGAAGCAGCCCAACATACCCAAGCATAGAGCAAGAAAATGTCATAGCAGCCCGTATGTATGCCTGCCACACGGTTATGTCGGAGGGTTTTTGAGCCTACCTCCACCTTTATCTGCAATATTATGAAGACTGGAGCATTTAGTTTCTCACCATAGCAGAATCTAAATGCAAAAGTTCAATTATTAAATTCAAGTACAATGCAAAAGGGATGGTAAAGAGACGCAACATCGCCATAATTAAATATATCCAACAATAACCAGATTGCTGCCTAGAGGCAAAACTGTTACGGAAGTTGCCCAGATAAATTTGAGAGGAACATCCTGATTAAGTTCCAAAGCTGCTACAAGTGATAAACACTAAAACAAGATCAGTGCCCACACCAAATCAAGCTTAAACCAAAACCGTGTGGAGCATTTTGGAAGTTACCTTTTGAGCAGTTTTCTAACCGAGAGGGGAGCATGGTAAACTCACAGCAGTTTCGAGGAAATTTTCAGCACCAACAACTCACATTCACGATGGTTTTACAAGCAAACTCAAAAATCACATTCTTCATAATAATCGACAACTTCCGAAAAGAAGACGAGAAGTGATAATGAGAATAAAACTAGACTTACAACAGCAAAATGGCTTTCCCGAATCCACGCTCTATGATTTCATGTCAAAGACCCTGAACAAAAGGACGTCACCTACAAAGCGAATATGCAGCAACAACCACCTGTGACTGGCTTGGCATGAGCATCAACCGTGAACTAGTTACAAATCACACGAAGCTCTCAAAAAGGCGCTAACGCTTTGACCCATTAAGATACCAGACATTGGATATTATACTTCCACCTGATCATAATTAAACATTGGTCCTGTTAGAGTACTGCAGCTTAATAACAGATTACGCAGCCTGCTAAGAAGCATGATCAGAAGGGCCTCTATTGCTGCGAAACCACCAACTCATCAGCTTCAGACTAAGAGGCGAGTTACCCTGGCAACAATGCATCCTGAACAAATTCACCCCATGCCTCTACCTCTCAATCAACGAATGAAGGCAACAATCATCGACCAATGTTCAGAATCCAACATAGGAAATACCTGGGCACATCAGTAACTGTAATCAAAAGAAATAACCTCACGCCAGCAGCATCACACCAATTGCACCCGCTGCAATAAAACTATTGTCATTAGTAGAGAACTGGGTAATTCATCTTTCTGCAGAAAAAACAACCAGTGCCAGACCTGCAAGATAAGAGCAGACACAGAGGATTTGATGTTTGTGAGAATACAACCAAACATCCCAAAGATTACGTGGCAGGATTAACATAACTTGAGTCAGAGCCAGAGTGAACCTCATGGAAATTCTTTTGACTATGATAGAAGTTGAGATAAAAGTTACCTATCAGCTGGAGGTCATACGAAGCTAATTGTTTCATTTGGAAGTCTTTCGTGGAAGATATGCCTTTGTCTTATCCCTCATATTTTCTGCTCAGACTGCAAACACTATTACCACCATTGCAATACACCACCCTGTGCCAAGAGGTTAAAACCTGAAGTGCTAACTGCAATTGCTAAATGAAGCTAACACATGCGAGACGATAACAGAACTGTGTGAATAGGCTACAACAATATGATGTCAATGATTATTTGTTGATCAACTCCCACAAGACGCTAGAAAGGGATTAGGATACCTCTAAAACTCGGATGCGTGTAAAATTTCCTAAGCAATACCCTCATTGGAGGCAAGATTGTAGCGTTGTTGTTGGAAATATTGGTAGCGACAATGTTCAAGAACTTGAGGCTAAAGCAACCCTCATATGGATGACACTCCTAAGAGACGTTTGGCGCTCTATCTGTCGGGAAACACTGATTGAAGTGGTTGTGTTAGAATAAGAATGAAATTTCAAGCAAATGATCAGTTGGAAGTGTTACAGAGATTGATGATATACCTACATCATTGGATGCTCCCATGGATACATTATCAGGTATTCAAATTTTATGCAGGGATATCACTAATGTAGGGTTGGTGCGAATGTTGTGTGTCATAGAGAACTTTGAAGCCTGCAAAGACACCCTGTTATGGTTAATACAGACGAAGATATCAAGGATGAGGGCGGTAACTTGTGCAATACCTTACTCCAGTTCCCCAAGCGCCATCACCAAGTACATGAAAAAGAAACAGTGTTAGATATGTATCAATTCGACCTGAAAACAAGAATGGAGATTGAAGTGGAAAGAGAAAACAACAACCTTGCTCCTCTTCACTCATGTCATGTTGCAGCTGCCAATGCCCATAATCCATAGGATAACATACCCTGCACTCAGTTTTTATCCACGAGATAACATTCATTGTCACTACCAGCATGTTTGTGTGAACTTTCATCAAAGAGCAGATGAAACTTTGGACTCACCATATCTCTTCACACCACAGCTATCAGAACTTGCTCCGGGCTTTTAATCTCCTATGGCCTAAAACCATCACTATCCACACCTGTCAGATACCAAATCCAAGTTAGCAATTACCAGGAGAATATACCGTTAGAAGAAATCTAATCCAAATCCTCAAGACATTGAATCTGGACAGACAAGGCATTAATCAGATTGATACAAGATATCACAAAATTGGAATTTTCATTTAACACATATTATTACAATCAGACGAATAAGGAGTATTTTCAAATCTAATTTGTCCCAAATTGGAAAATCCAATCAACATTCAAGAGCAGCAATCACACTCAATCAAGACATTTTCATTCTGAGACCTATAAAAGAAGGCTAAAGAGAAAGAGAAGGGCATTCGAAAATTATCGTAAGAAACCGAAAATCACCACCAAAACCCGTATTCGTTTAAACCTAACAGATTGAAAAAGGAGAACACTTATCTCTCCGGTTGACGAAGCCACCGCATGCCGCTGCGAGTTCAACAAGACGAAACACCCGTTCTCATCACCTCCGGCCGCCGCGAATCCACTCCGTCATCTCAGACGCCGCCGCTACCCACGACCTTCGGTAACGCCCTATTGTCTCCTATGCTCTTAAACTATTGATGCTTCTGGTTTTGTTTCAGGTTCGAAATATGGAGAAAGATGATAAAGGGGGAAAACCAATCGCGTTTGGAGTGAGGAAGATGAGGGTACCAGAAATTCAATTTGGGAACGAAGGGGCTTAGTGTCCCGTCGCCTCTCATTACCCCCCTTTGTTCCGTTCGTGTACTTTGTGATAGTAATGCACACACTCACCATACCACACTCACTCTAATCACCGTTAACCCACATTAACCTCTAATCTACTTCTAATCTAATTTTTATTTTGTTTATTTAATCAGTTATATTTATTAACTAGTAATTTTAATCAACACTCAACCCTTTTAATTAATCAGTTAACCAATCTTTTTTTATAAAAAATATAACTAATAATCCTTATTAAATAAATCAGCTTTATAATTCATACTAATAGTTTTTTTGTTAATGCGATTAATCAACTTCTTTATTAATAATTAAACAACTTCTTATTACACTTAATTAATCTTTTGAAAAATAATAATAATTATTATTAACCTTTAATAATCAATTTTATTTAATCATTTAGTTCCTTAGGTTTTTATTTTTTTTCTAATTCTATTCCACTATTTTATTTAAATTAAAATAAATCAGTCAATCTTTTAATAATTATTTGACTTTAGACTTTAATTTATATTTAATCTCATCTTAAAATAAACCCAATCAATTCAACTCCGTTCCTAAAAATCAAGCAAACATCGTAAACAATTGTGCACACTCACATCCACGACACTTTCACTATCACACACTTCAGCGTTTTCATGCGTATGTGTATGATTTTATTTCTGCAATTTATTTATTGTAATTTACATTATCGTAATTTATTTCATCGTATTGCACCCGTCCAAAGGAAGAATCTGCGCATGATCCCAACAATCGTGCGTATGCATTCACATTTGCATCATTCTCCCCACACGATCCTTGATCCCATTCAAGTTGATCGCTTAAGATAGATCCTACCCCATAGGAAGGACCTTGTCTTCTCTCTTACAACTTAGACAATCAACTCAACATGCAATTTTCAAACATTCAACAACTCAATACAACTTTATTCAAACACATTAGAGAAAGATGTCAACCATCTTAAATGAGATAGAATCTCCACCCCCACAACAATACAATCAAGCCGTAGGGACTTTGCCTTAAGAGAGATAAAGGTGTACCTCGTTGATCCCTATCCGAGTACGTAAGTCCTTTTCTTAAGACGATGCAAAGACTATTTTCCTACAATTTGTGGCGGTTACATCTCCCTTAAAATGAAGACACATCTCTTCTCCTAAAATCAATCAAGCAACTACCCTAAACCCGTAGGAGCTTTGACCACTGTCAAAGAACTCCTCATACCCTTTAGGGGAACTACAGATACTCTGATTCCACTCCCGTAAGGATATGTAGGCATGAGATGCGACATCTTATCAAGTATACTTAGAAATAAACCCCTAGGTCTTTAACCATTAAGCAGATAAACACATAGCAATAAACAAACATAAAACAAGAGGTTCCTGTAGAGTACTACAGAAACTTAGGATGCTAGTACCTTCCCTAAGTTTAACCAACACCCGAACCTAAACTCTCTTGCATTTGCATTCCATTGTGGGAATTTCGATCTTTATCCCTTCCTTTGGACAAATCAAAGTTCGGTTGCAAATGAATACAGATTCGAACTAATTAATAGTTTGGTATCCAAATTTCACCGCGACAGAAATGACGACTTCACTGGGGAACTCAGTGGGTTTCCCTATCTTGCTTTATTTATTTATTGCTTTATATCTGCCTATTTGCTTACTTGTTTATTTGTGTTCTTTATTTCTTTTGGGATTATTGTCCGTGAGTGGTGAGATAAAGTTCTACACCCGAACTTGAGAGAAATTAAGATAGGATGGTGATATATTCGAGGAGTCTTATAGGGAGTTGAATCCCGACTAAGTTAAATCGAGAATCCCGCTCAATTGAGGCCCTCTCGAAATGGTACTGTTGAACGAGTAATCGTGAAGACACTTGCTATTTTCGACCTTGGAGCCTATGATATTGAGGACCGTAGTTACCTTAACCCAACTTTGGCCTTTATTAGGACGTAGTGCGGGACTATGAGGGAGTACTCCCAAAATAGTGCTACGCGAAGCTACACTCAAAAGAAGTTCTCTTGAGAATATTACTAATCCTCGAGTTAGTTGAGAAATTGATAATATCCGAAAGATGGACTGATGATTTTGAGTCCCTTTAGAACCTTGTTCTGCAGGTACCAAACAACCTTTAGCCCATAACCTTTGGGAAAGGGTACACCTTTACTCCATGCTCGTTGCAAACCTAGGGTTCCCCTTTGTTTGTTTATCTTTGTGTCCTTATGTGAATACTTGTGTTTGCTGCATTCATATAACATCATTATGCATTGGACTTCATGGGATTTACTTTCGTT